GAAAGCCTGTCTACCCTGGGTTTGGAGAAGGCTGAGGTTCTCCATGACTTCTTTGCCTCAGTCTTCACTGGCAAATGCTCTGACCGCACCACCCAAATCTTGGAAGGCAGATGCAGGGACTGCGAGAATGAAGACCTTAGGCCCACTGTAGGAGAGGATCAGGTCTGGGATCACCTTAGGAGCCTGAATGGGACCTGATGAAATCCATCCGCGGGTCCTGAAGGAGCTGCTGAATGAAGTTGCTCGGCCACCGTCATCGTATTTGAAAAATCATGGCAGTCAGGTAAAGTTCCCAATGGCTGGGAAAAGGGAAATATAACCCCATTTTCAAGAAGAGGAATATGGAAGACCCAGGGAACTACAGACCAGTCAGTCTCACCTCTGTGCCTGGCAGGATCATGGAGCAGATTCTCCTTGAAAGCATGCTAACACACATGAAAAACAATGATGTGGCTGGTGACAGCCAACATGGCTTCACTAAGGGCAAACTAGATGACCTTAAGGTCCTTTCCAACGTTAACCATTCTATGATTCTATGATCATTCACTGTTCCACATCTCTGTATTTGCCTACAGGACACGGAAGTATACGGTCACACACACTGTTGAACTGCTTTAGAATGAACTATCACTTCCCTTCAAAGCAATTGTTCTCAGTCAAATTTAACTTTCGAAAGCAGCTCTTGGTGAATTCCACCTACAGATCTTTACTGAACTACTGTTCCTGTTTTGTAATACACCTACCCAAACCATAAGAATGTACTGCAGGAAATGTCTCTCCCTTTTTCCTTGGTAGAACCCACAAAAATTCCACAGACCTTCAGAAATCTCTTCCCTAGAGCTGTAAGTACTCTTTCCTTTAAGGTGGCTACAATGATGTGATGTTCCTTCAGCAAGCTCACTACATCTTTTACTTGCTGTAGCTTATCTCTATAAACACATACCTAAACAACTACTCCTCTGTAATCTTGCAATTGGGTTTGGTTTTCTTTTGTTAACATGAATTGCAGACAGCTAACCTCACAACTGCTAAAATACAAAACTGTGGGAAGAGTCGTCACCTAAGTCATCATTTTAAAGTCATGATTTCCTCATCATCCAGAGCATTTAAATCTGTATAAAGAAAATTCTCTTATAACTCATTTCCTAATTCATGATTTTAAAAACTAATACCCAGTTACAGAAGTTATCCGTATGCTTAAAAATGTGAGAGTAATTATAAATCAGTATTTAAAAATGCATGTATGGAAAATAAATGCTTGAGAAGTTTGCTTAATAAAATCCACCTAAAGAGTGGGCCAGTTGATATTAGCCATCCTCTTCCCAAAGGATGGCCACAGTGCTTTTAGTTGTTGAATACAAAGGCAAATGAAGACCTTGGATTTTTTAGGTAAGAACATAGATGTTTTACCAGATTGTCTTTTATTACTATCCAAGAGAAAACTTAAACTTCACTATAATCTTCCATAAACTTAATGCTGAAATACCTGTACAAGATGCAAAAGAAGAACTGTATAGCCAACAAGATATTCCAGCAAACTCATTGTTATAGTTAACAGCTCTTTGAAACATGGGAATTGCATAAGGTCTGACAGAACTGGCAGCCTCATGGGAGTGGTGTTTTACAGGTTTTTTCTCAAGCACCTCTTTTCAAGAGCATTCAGCTAAAAAGAAAAGTAAACTTTTTACTACAAAAAACCCTTAGAGAAAGGCCTAGCAAAAGTAAGTATTCATTAAGTCCTACCAAATTATAGTCTAATCCGTAACTCCACTTCCTTCTCCTATCAATGCTGATCAGATGAACACCTCTATAATTTTAATGTTTATGAAGAATTAAGTACATTGGTCAGTATAACTGCTAATTATTCCAATTTTAAAAGGAGGATGCAATGGAAATTACCTGCTGGAGCTTTGCAAAACTATTGCAACTCTGTAAGGTTGAACAGAGGGTGATTCCCTAATTCCAGTGATTTCTGACAAAACTAATTAGGATGTAGCAAGAGATACCCAGCAAAATGTTTTTCTCCTCCTGAATCATAGCAGTTTCAAACCGGTGATTGTTTCCAGAGATGAAACAACAATATATGTCCCCATAATATTTAAAGTCATATCTATGTCTTATCTTAAAACCAGGAGGTCCAGATAATGAAGAAACAGTTCTGAATTACACTGTCTGAGGACTTCTTCCTGTGTTGACCATCCTTTTCTGCTCTCAAACAGTAACAATCATCTGACACCAAGCAGGGAGTATCAATAGCAAACCACCTATAGAATAGAACCTGCAAGTTCACCTACCTAAGAGAGATGACTAATCACTCTCCACACAAATGCCTAGAGCAGAGGCCCGTAGATTTCATTGCAAAGATGTAAAGATGCCCATAGGGAGAACTAATCTGAGGAACCCCCCCATAACCTGACAAATTGCACCTATTTTGCACATTGCAGATACCTATATTCATGTACCCCGTGAAAAGCGGACTAGAATCACTGCTTTTGGCTGTTACACTCAACAGGATTCCTGCCTATCCCAAGGAGCATACTCTACAGAAAAACAGAAATGTCAAATTCCAATGCCAGAGCCTAGAGCTACTCTGTGCCACCACTGAGCCATGCCTATAGATCTTTTCTATCTTCAGTGCCCAGGAGTAGTGCACAAATCAGAATACATCAATTTACCCAAAACTAAATACATGAACTGAGGAGAAAATTAATTTAATAATGCCACTTTAGGAACCTCTGTGGATTATGCTTAGAGTACAAACCCTCAAAGATACGTAACTTTACATTAGAACTTCCTTGCTAATGGGCAGGGGGGAAGAGGGGAACCCAAAAAATTAATCAGTTTAGCATTACTTACGAGCAAATGTAATCAGAGTTCATATACATACCCTTTGCTTCTCAGGGTCAACATATCGAATGCCAAAATAGTCTTTTTCCAGCAAGCTGTAATAGTTGCAGATGTGATCTATGAGAAACTGACCTTTAGTTTCCCTCTGTAAAAAGAGAAAGAATTGATACATTATTCTGAGTAGTCTGACCTTACAGCCTATAAATATTTAAAAAAATCTAATTGAAGTATCAAAGAAAATGGCACATGAAATTTGTTGTTGTCAGATGAGGACAAGGTTTTGAGCATTTATCTGCTCTAAAAGATGCAGCAAATTAGTGATCAATATACTTCCTGCACATTCACAAACTGATTTGGTAAAAAAAATACCACCACTAGTCCTGCCTCATGAAAACTCATACTACTTTAATAGCTACACATTCATAACATTTAATATATTTCTAGTAACCATATTTCCACCTGATGTTATAATGGCATAACAGATACCCATTTACATACGGAATTTCAAAGCTGTATGTGGTTTTTTTGTATCCACCAAGTTTGCGAGCAGCTTTGGCAGTGAGTACCTTACTGGATCTTTATGCAGTGCTCACAGAAAGAGAGCACTGATCCTTAATTCCCAGACAGCACTACAATACGAGAAAGAAATGCCCAAATGACTAAAAGAGATGTTTTCATTGCCATTGGGTAGCTACAGCCTTATGGAAAATTACCATACACATGATGTTGTTAACAATCTCATTCTTTATGTCTGTTTTTTTGAATCTCAATACTGTTTCATTTCTCCTTAGTCTACTTGCCTGATGTGGAGAACCTATATGAATTTTCAAATATGTGAGGGTTTTGGTTTTTTTTTTTTTAAATTGAGATGTGTATGAGTATTAACACTGGGCCGAAGCTATTCACCTAAACCAGTCCACTTTAAGCACACAAAGGTGCTTCACTACATCACAGTGTCAGGTCTCTGCATTTCTTTTCCTTTGCCTACCCAGGTCCTGCAGTGAGACACCTCTGCTGTGGACCATGTAGCGAGTTTGCAAGACTCTACCCTATGCTGACATCAAACAACTTGAACTTAGCTCTCTTATAACTACAAAATAGAAACTATACAGTAATGCAATCACATTATATAAAAAAATTACTTAGTTGTTCTGCAAAATGACTCCCCGAAAACTTTGATGCTATGCCTTAATGAACCTTTCTTTAAGAAGCTAACAGGCAATTTTAACCATAAACAGAACAGCTAGGCAAAAATTAACAGATACCTCCTGCATTTCTCAAGGTAGTTTACAAAATTGCCCACTGTTGTCATCTTCATTTCACACACAAGCAGCTGAGGCAAAAACAGTGCTGTGACCTGTTCGAGGTCATACTGTAAAGGTAAGAGGAAGCAATAGCCTCAGAACCACCACTGTCCACTGAGACTTACTGCTTCCCACATTAAAAATGAGACATGTTTCAAGACTAGAGTGTTAGAAAAGAATACAACCTGTGAACTACTGATTTATTTTCTTATCTTTACAGTTAATAAGGAATTCTGACATGGATAGAGTTGATCACTTGTTCACTCCCATTACTGAATTAAAGACTAACTAAACAAAAAGCACCCTCACTTATGGCACTGACAGTGAGCTGTATGGCCCTTCCAGTACACTGGGGCTCCTGCAGCCATTCCAGTCCCTGACACATGGATGTTCTTTCCTGAATTCAATTCCAGCCACAAGGGAGTTTCTAATTTCTCTACAGATTTCTTTTTCCTAAACACGGGACCTCTGCTTCTCTTCCTGCTGTGTAAGCCACCTACTTCCACTACTCCTTTCCTCCTCCACCTTCTATCTCCGATGTATTCACCCTTCACTGTGTGTCCTTTACTCTCCCATATGCTGCTACTTGCCTGGAGGGTATCGCTGCCTTGTCATGCACATACATGGTATTTCTGTACTTTGTTTTCCTATTTTTAAACAGCCAGTATCAAAGGATGTTAACCCGATTTGTTTGTTTTCTATACGTGCTCACTCAACCTCATACTTTGTGCCCTGCATTGCTACCTTTTTCCATGTAATACAGCTGCAACAGTTTTCTGTCTGCAATTGTTTCTTTCCAGCTTCAGGACATTCAAAAAATAACTTGTTTGCTGTTAAGACTGGTTAACACATACACAGACATTTTTTATACTGTACCCAGTACAAGTATGGCCATGCTTGTGACAGTATAGAGAAAACTTCCTTTAAAAGTCAGAGCTGGTATCAAAGACTGAAAAGTAAGGAAAGAAAAATGCCACTCACACCGTGACTGACAAAAAAACCCCCACATACACATACATATCTCAATGATATATTTTCTAGCTTAAAATCTTAGAAGTGTCTGCAAACTTTTGTGAATATGTGATAAGCAAGACCATCAAAATATTAAGACAAAATTGCACGGTGACATTTCACTAAAAAGGCAGTAGGAAAAAAATTGAACTCAGATGTGAAATTCAAGTTGCATGCAGTTTTAAGATGAATCTACAATGAACTAAACAGAACTAGGGAATAACAGCTATTAGGTGACTCAGGTACAGTCAGACATGACACAGGTATTACTGACAACAGTATACAAATGAAATCCAATTTTTAAAACACTGGATATAAGGAAATCAGACTAGTTGTATTTTCATCCAGCAATATTAGAGGGTGTTCCTGGAAAAACAGCCAGTAAATGAACTAACTTTTATAGGTTCACATTCTAATCCATTCATTTAAAAAGCCCTTTGCTTCATCCACCTAAGTCATCACAGAAGTTTTTTTTCGTTCTTGATAAAAGGCTAGGGCATGTACAGTGTTTTTCAATCCAGTAACAACACTCCCTTTCTAAAATTACTTGATGCCCTGGTTTTCTTGCTTGAAAGATAAGACGATAGAAACGGACCAAACAAAATAAAAGCAAATGAACAAAACCCTTGGAGCTAAATTCATGCTCTAGGAAACCTTAAGTACTCCATAGATACATAAAAGAGACTAGTTGAATAACCTCACCCTTGGTTAGTATACACTTCGAGTTATTAGTGCTACTTAGTCAGGCTTCACGTTCCACATGATCCAAAACCAGACACATAAAAAGATTCAAGATGTACAGAAGTGGCTAAATAGGCACATACATAATGTAAGGAGCGTTCTAGAAAGAAATGCTGTTGTAAATGTTCCACTATTAGTTTGTTAAATACCTGAAATATGAAAAAAATTCAGGTCATAATTGATACACAGAGAAAAATATGTGATATGGCACAGAACACCTCAAGTATGAATTCATAACAGATGGTGCGACAAGGATGGACAGTGTTGTTCATTTTGTTTTCTGCAAACAACATCCATAAACAAATTCTGCATTTCTCTAACAATGTTTTGAATTCTCATGAGCTTTAGAATCTGACAATCTTTCTTGTCTCCTTTGTTCTTTGATACACTTATTACATATTATAATACAAAAGAATGTATCAAATCCATAGTCTAGTCTCATTTCTGAAAGAATATGAATAAATTAAATTGGGAACTGCCAGTCATCTACAACAGAGCACAGGAATGGATTTGGGTCACAGAATAATGAATATAAAATATTGCCTGAAATTTCAGACTGTTGCTTTCCAATTAAGTGATCCTTTAAGGAAAATAAAACAAAACAAAACAAAACAAAACAAACAAAACCCCAAACAATAAACAAAACAACCAAACAAAAATAACCCCCAAATCCTGCTATACCAATGAAGTATTTTGCAGCAATTCAGACCAATATTTTTCTGTTATATTTCAGCATGTTTGCAGAACATGAAAGAAATGACGTCATAAAAAGCACCATTATTTAAAACACTACTGAAGAAGTCAGCAACAGATCACAGGAATCTGAGAGCAAAAATCAAGTCAGATTTTTTAAATCTTCACAACTGAGATCATTGATAATTATACCACAGTTCACCCAGAAGTCATCAAATATTCTCAAGCAGAGAAGACCAACCCAGGCAGAAACAAGAGTCACTAAAGTGTGTAAGCAAGAAAACCAAAATGTCCCAGATCATAATCAATACTATGTTTTAAAACAAAGAATACCAAGTTCAACAAGACAGATTTTTGTAACACATACTCTACAAAAAGTGGTTTTTAAAAGGTCCTTAAACAAAATCTTACAATATAATTCCACTTGCTGACATAAAAGTCACTTTTGGAGATTCCTATAAATAATTTGAGGAACAACTCTCTGATTTGCTCATATAAATTTGCACAGACAAGACAGGTATGTTTTCCCTAAGGCTGCATTTGAGTATCTGACCTTAATACCACTAAAATCCCACAACAAACCCCAACACACATGCAAGGGATAAAATGCCACGCGAATGACAGAATCCCTGAACACAGAAGGTCAGTTTGCAAATAACTATTAAACCCTGCTTTTTAAGCTGGTTCAGAAGTATTCTTTCCTACTGAAACAAGCATGTACCCAATTCCACTAGCAGCTGTTGCAAAAGAATTAAGCAAAACAAGGGACATTCTCCAACAAAACATGACACTGTGATCATACAGGGTTCGCCACGCACGGACTCACAGGACAACCTGGATTTCTGCCTTAGCCCTAGGAACCAAGTAAGACACTGCAGAGATGTTTCATTTTCACTGCTAGATAATATGATTACAGCTTCCATTACTACAACTCTGCAAATTTATGACTGAGTAACTGAATTCCTTGGTAACTCCTCTGTTATGCAGAAACTAATACAAACAATAATCTCCATGGCACTTAAGCAGTTTTGATCTAACACAATATCCCAATTTCACGATTGCTTTTTCTTTTCTTCTTTTCTTTTTTTATTAGTAGTTTCTATGTGCAAGCTAAAAAGCAAGGAAGAATGTATCTTGTTCTGCCAATTTAACTGTTCTCGGATGACACAGAATGACACCACAGAACATTTGTGACTGTTTCACAATTCTGAAAGTGAGAAGAAAACCATTTATAGCAGTTTAAGAACGTGCATTCAGTGAAACATCTTCCCTATTTTCATCTGCTTCACTGTGGAGTTCTATGCCTATTTATCTGAATGTCACAAGGAAGAGCAAGAGTCACAAGCAGATTAAACAGTGCTTCTGCTCTGTTATCTAATGACTGAAGTCCTGCCAG